TACAGTTGGGGGAAGTGCAAGTGGGATTTATTCATCAAGGACTTCGACGCACAACTTCCGGCATACGACTATAAAAAGCAGTCCACCGGCATTAAGGCTTTCACGAGAGCGCTTATAACTTCGTATCGACGGCATTGCCCCCGCGGCATGCACAAGGACGGTCCCAGGCTTTGGGACGACACTCTCATGGAGGCAGAGCGGATTGCTACCGACAGCAAGGCCCGCTATCTACAGTTACCGACGCCCGACCGTGAGGCAGAAATGCAACGGACAAGGAGTCAATTCTTCCTCCTGCTCCGAGAGCGCTTGCGCAACACGTATCTACGTCGCATCAGCAAGTTAAATCCAGGCGAGCCACTCGCATGGAAATACATTTCCGGACGAAAAAGGGCATCACTTCCATCTCCCACATCAATGTTATTAGGAGATGGTCAGCACACTTATAAAACAGCAAGGAGAGCAGCGAATGCTCTCAATCGCATCTTTCTTCCATTTCACCCCTCTCACAAGGCAGTTAGGTTTTCCAAAGGCATCAACAGACAGAGTGCATCCTTGAACATTAATGCTTCTTTTCTTTTTGGGCAGCAAAACAACAGCGAGTCTGCTGCCTCATTTACTTCATTTTCTTCTACTTCTTCTAGCTCCGAGCCGCAGAACAACAACGAGTCTGCTGCTACATTTACTTCAGGTTCTTCTACTTCTTCTAGTTCTGAGCCACAGGATAAAAACGAGGCTGCCACCAAATCTGGTTTAGTTGCTCATCTTCACTCCCCTCTTGATGCACCTTTTAATCGTACGGAACTGCTTGCTGCGCTACGTAATACGCCGTATGGCAAGGCCCCCGGACCGGATGAAGTCTACAGTGAGGCACTGCGACATATTTCGTCAAAGGGCCTCCGATTCCTTCTTCGTTGCATTAACCACAGCTGGACGACCGGTACGATCCCGGTTGAGTGGAGACGCGCTACCATCGTTCCACTCTTAAAACCCGGTAAGTCGCCGGAACTGCTTGAGTCATATCGACCCATCAGCCTTACCTCCATTGTGAGTAAGGTTGCTGAGAAAATGGTACTGAAGAGATTGCTTTGGGTGTGGACGCCGCACCCCCACCAGTATGCATATCGTAGTATGCGTAGCACGACGATGCAGCTGGCACACCTGATACACGAAGTGGAGCATAATAGAAATCACTATTTCCAAGTGAGCCTTCCCAAGAAGAGCGGTATTGGCAATCAACTCCACTACAGACCCCATCGGACCCTGCTGGTGTTGGTTGTTTTCAGCAAGGCCTTTGACTCCATAGATCATCGAGTCCTCAGTCGCTTGCTGGCTAATATTCCGGGGGTGAATTGTAGAAGGTGGCTTAGAAACTTTCTATGTGGTCGCTACGCGAAGACACGAGTTGGCCACAGACACAGCGATCGGCGTCCCATGCTGCGAGGAGTTCCTCAGGGGTCCGTGCTGGGACCGTATTTGTTCTCCCTTTACGTACACCCACTTCTTAATCTGCTGAACAGCTTTGCGGGTGTCACAGCAGACATGTATGCGGACGACCTCTCTATTATCGTTAAGGGGCAGTCCCGGGAAGACGCCATTCCCACTGCCAACATGGTTCTTGAAAAACTGCATGCGTGGAGTCAGGAAAATGGCCTGGCCATCAACCCGTCAAAGTGTGAAGCTGCTTGGTTCGCACTTTCCACGCACACGGAGTCAGATTATGATCGTGAAGGAAGGTGGCCGCTGGCAGTGGCTGGATGTCAAATCCCAGTCATGACCATGGGGGCATCGCGAACTACGAAGCTTCTCGGCATGGATCTCGATCCACGACTGACGCTAAATGTGGCGGCCACCAAGCAATGCGCTGCCACTTCGCAACGGATATCGCAGCTACGCTGCATAGCGCACAAAGAGGCGGGACCATCTCCACATGACCTACGCACGTTCGTCATTGGATACGGTGCTTCCAAATTACGCTATGGCAGCGAGCTCATATGGGCAGTAGCGACGGATGCTGCGAGGAACGAGATGCAGAAGACGTACGCAACTCTGGCACGCATTGTCAGCGGGGTTCCGAGCACTGTCGACCCGGAATCCGCGCTACTGGAGGCTAATATGCCGCCGCTCCACGTCCTTTGCCTGCGCGCACGGCTCTCAATATTTGAGAACACACGCGCATGTCAGATGGACTGGATGCGGAGACCCCCGCCTGAGCCACCACCTCGCGCCGGTTTCCGCATCTCGCCATTATCTCGGGACGAGCTATATGCCTTCGTAGACGCATACACAAAGGACTATGGCATCACCGAGAGCTCACCACGCGAAGAGCGGTTCTTTCGCAGCTCCATTCCTCCCTGGTTTGCGGCCTCCGCTCACCGGGTCACCATCGGTGTGGAACTTCCGATAGACCTCTCAATAACGGACGAAGAAGAGCTGATACGGGAAAAGCGCAGAGTCAGCGAAGAGGCTCTGGCGCTGCACAGCCATCGTTCGTGGATACTTGCGACCGATGGCGGTGTCGACGTTCCCAAGTCAGCAGGGGTTGGAATACTGCTCTCATCCCTGCATTCCTCGAAGATAATAGAGAAGGTCAGTACCAACGGCGGTGCACGCCCATGCAGCCGCACGACGGAATCCCGTGCGCTGCATCTAGCCCTAGAGAAGCTGATGATTCCTCGTATCCGACACAGGCGTAAAACCCTGCTTGTGGTTACGGACAGTCAGTCTCTTCTAGCCGCCGTCACCAAGGGCCCGCTCAGTCATACCCACTGGACGGAGGATCGGATCTGGCAGCGTCTCTTGTCACTGACGCATGCTGGCTGGTCCGTGCAGCTGCAGTTTTGTTACGGACATTGCGGAGTACATGCTAACGAGCCTGCAGATCAGCATGCGACGCAGACCATGGCAACCGGGCAACACACGGAACATGGAATAGCACACATATGGCACACGGACATGCTGACATGCATTAACACCCAGCTCACCAACAAGTGGCGTAGCACCATTCGTCAAGACACCCACCACTACCTGCTTGGCGGCGCCAGGCCATCAGATCCAGGCGGCAAGGACCTGATCACTCAGGAACCCCTCGACCAACAGGAACGGATACAAACTGCACGGAAAGGGTGCGGGGAATCCGAGCTCTGGGGTCGCCTGTACTGGACTGTGAGAGACTGCACGAACCAACGCCGTTTCCGCAACATCTCACCGGAACACTCCGCTCTCATGCGCTCCAACGACGATCCCACCGCACCGGGACGGACGCTGTTCCCCCGACGACAAGGGAGGCCGACGCACCGCCTGTGGAGAGACGGCCCTCCACACAGCGTCGGAAGAAGAAATGCCCGCACTGTGACGCCACACTGGTGGGACACACGAACCACATCGGTCACTGTCGGTGCCTTCATCCGGAACACCCTCCACCGCTTCCCGACCTCCACCGCGATTGCTACGACACAGTCCTCCCCACACAAAAAAGGCACCGCACAGCACAGAAATCGCTGCGCACAAAACCCAGACACCACTCGGCACCGCAGCAGCAGTGCCAGGAGGCAATCACTGCTACCGCAGGATCAGCCAGCCTCCACAAGCGCAACAATTAGCCCGCAGAAAACACTGCACCATCTGCTTCCGGAATGTACAGACGCTCTGGCTGTGCGCCAACGGCTGGGCATTAAGAAGGACCTTCGCACCGAAAGCTTCTCCCAATGGCAGCTGCCTCATAGCAGGAAACTCATGTCGCTGCTCGACCACCTCCTCGGCACCCTGATGACATCGTGTGGCTAGACATGTCGGTAAGAGCAGGGAATAATAATAATAATGAGCATTCCCGCCACTATAGAGACGTGGTGCATCTTGCGATCCCGCTGGCGGCTCTCCTCTTCCACCGCTGTTTTTGCGCAGGAGGTCACCACAGTCATTTTTGTGGTTTGGTCGGCCTCGTGTTGCGCTCCGGGTTCTCCTTCATCGCCCTGCGGTGCTTCCTTCGCCGTCCCCGGCACCTGTGACTGTCCCGTGACGGTTTGTTCCGAAGCCCGACTGCCCTGGGAGGTCCTCCCGCCACCAGCATGCACTCCACCCGCTGCCTGCTGAGATGCGTCGGAGCGTGGGGATGCTGTGCCTGCAGCGTGCCCTCCGCCCAAAGACTCCGGTCCACTTGCGCGCATCCGAGCAGCAGACGCGCTGCCAGTGCCGGACGGATTGCAAGTGCCACTTCGCAGTGGGTCGCTTCTGGATTGGTCCTGCCTCGTCGGTGCAGTGAGTGCTCCTCCCGAGGTGGGATTGGGGTCCTCACCCTCAATGCTTCCCCCACCCTCCTCGTCTTCCTGATTGCTATTGTCCTCAGAGTTCACATTCCCCCTTCGTCCAGAGCCACCGGCCACGGGTCCACCTTCCGCAGCCATCACACCCCTCGCGTGCCCAGCAGTCACCGCGCCATCACCCGCGGGCAGCACACGCACCCCGTCGCATCAGCCCTCACTCACACGCACGAGCAGCTGCGCATCACTGCAGGAACCAACAGGATTCAGAGCACACGGCCAATCATCATCACAAATAGTGGATTCCACTAACGCTGCGGAGCCAACCTGCGATAGCACGAGAAAAACAAAGGGAGACACAGCCGCTACACCACACACAGCAACAAATGGCAGCAGCCCAGCAGCAGCGTACACACCACGAGACAGATGGAATCAGTACGATTGCAGAACTCGCACACCGCCCCGCAAACCACAAGTTTAAAAAGCAATTAAAAACAATAATTAAAAAGCAATAATTAAAAAAGAAAAACAAACCCAGGGCTCCAGTGCGCATTCTTATGAGTGCGTCCGCGATGCGTTCAACGTGACGGATGCGGGGCACAACGCGGAGCACACAGCACGGCAGCAGAAGCAAGTGAAGCAAAACAAGATCATTATTTCCTCTTATTTTATACAGTGAACAACAACACACGCGCACAAATCCCCGCGGTTGAGTGCTGGCACGCACAGCCCGCACACACCTCTTCAGCCCAGAGTGGTGTACGCCAGCGCGGAGGCGGCGAGCACCAGCGGGGCACCCACCCACGCAGAGCTGCTGAGGCTGCCGTCGACGCTCCGAAGACGTGACGGTGCGCTGGTGTTCGTCGTGGTTGGCGCCTCTATAGTCGTAGTACTTGGTGTCTCTGGCGCAGTAGTGGTGGTCGTCGTGGTGGTTGTTGCCTTCGTCTTTGTTTTCGTCGTTGTCGTCGGTGCCGCATCTTCGGTTTCCTTATTTGATTGTTCTGTGGATGTTCTCGTGCCACTTTCTTGTCCTGTAGTACCGTTCGTGCCCGTTTTCTGTACCGTATTGTACTCGGTATTTACTTTTGCTCCCGGATCGGTTAAATGAGGCGCCTCTGGCAAAATGTCTCGAGGAACCGGATCAGTGGCTGAATCATCAGCAGCCTCAGGCCGACTGTTCCCTGGTGTTACTCCTGGTGCAGGGGACAATAAAGTGGTGACGTTTGTATTAGCTTCAAGTTTCCTCGTATTCTCCGGTGACTCTGTTGTAGTGGATTTCTTGGTTGTGTCAGCAGTAACTACAGCTTTATTATTAGACTGATCCCCGATATGTCTCGTGCTGCTTTGCGGCCCAGACGTATCGCCGTTACCATCGGCCCGTAAAGTACCGGTCGCACTCTGCCCCGCTCCATCACCTATTCCTAATTCCGCAGCCGGCCTAGTTTCTTCTTCGGGTAACTCTGACGGATTGGAGCCCTGAAGTGTTAATTCCGGTGTACCAATCGCTCGGCTGGTGACAGTTCCACTAGATTCAGCAAGAGCAGTGTCTGTCACGCACATAGACGGGCAGCAGCAGCACAGGGCAAGCACCAGCAGGGCGCACAGCAGACGGCACGTCATCATCGTGAGTGTGGTCGTTCAGTGGTGTGGAGCTGATCTGCACAGTGAGGGAAATGGAGAGCAACAGGGGAGACGAGAGGTGCGGCAGACACACACAGAGGGCACACCACATGAGGAGAGGGCAGCAGCCAGGCATGCACCGTACGCCGCACACCACGCACGACACACACTCCAATCCACGGCAGCAGGCACACACACACAGCCCTGCCGCAACAACAACACACAGATGGAAGAGGGAGAAGCAAACAGGAGCGGCACACAAGGCTCCACCGCATGCACATACGGCGAGAGCGGTCCGTCGTGTCGGCACCCCTCACGGAGGGTGCGCACACACAAGAAGGTGCAGCGCACACAGCAACACAAAAGCAAAGTAACAATACAAGAAGAAGATCCCCGCACACCACGCGGATTGTTGGTCCACGGGAATTGCAGCCAATATTCACCACAAGCAGTTCATTTGCAGTGGGCCTTCGTCCACATTCATCGCACTCAATTTCATGCAGGCCCGGCCACCACCGCAACAGGAGCTGCTGCACACGCAACAAGAAACAAGAAAGGGAGGTGGTGTGGGAGACTACGGTGCTGCTGTCACTGTCGCCATGCGAAGCTGTGTTTATGTTGTTAGTGGCGGTGGCGATGTCCCTCGTGAACCCCTCGCTGTGGGCTGCGGGGGTAACTGTGCCGGCTGATGTGCCTTCGGTTTTGTTGTTGCATTCTTCTTCTCCACTTCTTCTGTGGAGAGTCCGGCGTCCTCTCCGTTCAGGTGGCTCGCATTATGATTGGTCGTGGTGGTGCTGGCGGCGGCGTTAAACTCTGCAGCTGGAAGAAATGCGGTGCAGTTGTCAGCCTTGGCAGCAGGCGCTTTGTCTCCACGCCGGTACGTTTCTGTTTTCTCTGCAGCGTCAGAAAGTGGAGGCTGTTTGAAAATCTCCTGCACGGTGCATTCCTCTTTCCAATCTAATGCAGCAAAGCTGCCATCTGAAAAGGACGATGACTGCGATGGCCTCTCGTGAGTGGGAGATGGTGCATGCTGCACGGTGTCTTGGTGTGCTGCAACTTCCTTCCTTTCTGCCTCATCTCCACCAGCTGCTTCTACTGCAACTTCTCATCCCGATTCTCCTTATGGTGCATCACCCGGTACTTGTACAAAAGTTGTGTTTGAACCCGCATCGTGTTTTGGCGCTACCTTCGCCATTCTCTGGCCATGAAACTTCATGTCGGCTGTCAGACCCTTCTGCCCCTTGCGGCGGTTCCTGCCCCTGCTGTTTGTCTTATTTGTTCGCCCGGTACTGCGGCTGGTTTTGTTGGTAGTGATCCTTTTCGCCCCCCAATGGCAGGCTGTGTTGGGGGCTGGGCTCCTCCCTCTGTCCCACCGCCCCCGATGACTCAGCGACTTTCAACTTTTCATCCTGAGCGGATTCGCTTTCCCGACTGCCGGTGGCGCGACTGCCATCCGAAGAGGGCAATGCTCGCTCCCTTTGGGGCACGAGTTCCAGGTGCCCCACAGTGACAGGAGCCATCAGCATCTGAGCCTTGCCTTCTGAACCATTCACAGTTGACTCCTCCCGCTGTCCAACACCACTCAATGCGTCGTGTGACTCCGACACATTCGTTTTCATTTCGAGCGGCAAATAACGCCATCCCGCTGATCCTCCACATACTGCCGGTGCCGCTGGTGACGCGCCGCCTTGTCTTCTCCTCGTTCTAACGGCAGGCGATCTACGCGGCTGGTGACGCATCTAGTTGAGTGTTCATTGGATTGCAGCATACACCCTTATCCTCAGCGGTGTCAGCAGCAACGGCAATCCCTTGGCGCCTCCAACGACGACGGCAATCCAATTACGCACGCATTCCTCCACGGCGGACGCATTCGCCCTGCCTCCTGTCCTTCTGCTGCCATCCATCGCGCATTCCCTCCGCAGCTGAGCACGCCACCGCAAGAGCTAATACTCACACGTAACGCTATCGTCACCACAGCACGCAGAGGGCACACACCAGCAGCACACGGCCAGTCATCATCGCCAGCACTCCTGTCACTTGCGTGCAGCCTTCAGCAAAAGTAACACCACGTCAACAGAGTGAAAGGCAAAAAGATAGACACGGCCGCTACACCACGCACAGCCACCGCAAGCAACAAACGGCAGCAAAGCAACAGCAGCGCACACACCACGAGACAGATGGAATCAGTACGATTGCAGAGCTCGCACACCGCACCGCAAACCACAAGTTAAAAAGCAATAAAAACAATAATTAAAAAACAATAATTAAAAAAAGAAAAACAAGCCCAGGGCTCCAGTGCGCACGCTTGTGAGTGTGTCCGCGATGCGTTCAACGTGACGGATGCGGGGCACAACGCGGAGCACACAGCACGGCAGCAGAAGCAAGTGAAGCAAAACAAGATCATTATTTCCTCTTATTTAGTACAGTGAACCACAACACACACGCACAAATTCCCGCGGTTGAGTGCTGGCACGCACAGCCCGCACACACCTCTTCAGCCCACAGCGGTGTACGCCAGCGCGGATGCGGCGAGCACCAGCGGGGCACACACCCACGCAGAGCTGCTGAGGCTGCCGTCGACGCTCCGAAGACGTGACGGTGCGCGGGTGGTCGACACAGCTGGCGCCTCAGTAGTCGTAGTACTTGGTGCCTGTGTTGTAGTCGTCGTTGTCGTGGTTGTCGTAGTGGTGGTCGAGGTCGTGGTTGGTGCCTGTGTTGTGGTCGTCGTGGTTGTAGTTGGTGGTTTTTTTGTAGTCGTCGTCGTGGTCGTATTGGAAGAAGAGGCGGCGGCTCCAGGCCCAGGCGCAGCGTCTGCCGCGCACACGGACGGGCAGCAGCAGAGGGCGAGCACCAACAGGGCGCACAGCAGACGGCACGTCATCATCATCGTGAGTGTGGTCGTTCAGTGGTGTGGAGCTGATCTGCACAGTGAGGGAAATGGAGAGCAACAGGGGAGACGAGAGGTGCGGCAGACACACACAGAGGGCACACCACATGAGGAGAGGGCAGCAGCCAGGCATGCACCGTACGCCGCACACCACGCACGACACACACTCCAATCCACGGCAGCAGGCACACACACACACAGCCCTGCCGCAACACCAACACACAGATGGAGGAGGGAGAAGCAAACAGGAGCGGCACACAAGGCTCCACTGCATGCACATACGGCGAGAGCGGTCCGTCGTGTCGGCACCCCTCACGGAGGGTACACACAAGAAGGTGCAGCGCACACAGCAACACAAAAGCAAAGTAACAATACAAGAAGAAGATCCCCGCACACCACGCGGATTGTTGGTCCACGGGAATTGCAGCCAATATTCACCACAAGCAGTTCATTTGCAGTGGGCCTTCGTCCACATTCATCGCACTCAATTTCATGCAGGCACAGTCACCACCGCAACAGGAGCTGCTGCACACGCAACAAGAAACAAGAAAGGGAGGTGGTGTGGGAGACCACGGTGCTGCTGTCACTGCCGCCATGCGAAGCTGTGTTTATGTTGTTAGTGGCGGTGGCGATGTCCCTCGTGAACCCCTCGCTGTGGGCTGCGGGGTAACTGTGCCGGCTGATGTGCCTTCGGTTTTGTTGTTGCATTCTTCTTCTCCACTTCTTCTGTGGAGGGTCCGGCGTCCTCTCCGTTCAGGTGGCTCGCATTATGATTGGTCGTGGTGGTGCTGGCGGCGGCGTTAAACTCTGCAGCCGGAAGAAATGCGGTGCTGTTGTCAGCCTCGGCAGCAGGCGCTTTGTCTCCACGCCGGTACGTTTCTGTTTTCTCTGCAGCGACAGAAAGTGGAGGCTGTTTGAAAATCTCCTGCACGATGCATTCCTCTTTCCAATCTAATGCAGCAAAGCCGCCATTTGAAAAAGACGATGACTGCGATGGCCTCTCGTAAATGGGAGATGGTGCATACTGCACGGTGTCTTGGTGTGCTGCAACTTCCTTCCTTTCTGCCTCATCTCCACCAGCTGCTTCTACTGCAACTTCTCATCCCGATTCTCCTTATGGTGCATCACCCGGTACCTGTGCAAAAGTTGTGTTTGAGCCCACATCGTGTTTTGGCGCTACCTTCGCCATTCCCTGGCCATGAAACTTCATGTCGGCTGTCAGACCCTTCTGCCCCTTGCGGCGGTTCCTGCCCCTGCTGTTTGTCTTATTTGTTCGCCCGGTACTGCGGCTGGTTTTGTTGGTAGTGATCCTTTTCGCCCCCCAATGGCAGGCTGTGTTGGGGGCTGGGCTCCTCCCTTTGTCCCACCGCCCCCGATGACTCAGCGACTTTCAACTTTTCATCCTGAGCGGATTCGTTTTCCCGACTGCCGGTGGCGCGACTGCCATCCGAAGAGGGCAATGCTCGCTCCCTTTGGGGCACGAGTTCCAGGCGCCCCACAGTGACAGGAGCCATCAGCATCTGAGCCTTGCCTTTTGAACCATTCACAGTTGACTCCTCCCGCTGTCCAACTCCACTCAATGCGTCGTGTGACTCCGACACATTCGTTTTCATTTCGGGCGGCAAATAACGTCATCCCGCTGATCCTCCACATACTGCCGGTGCCGCTGGTGGCGCGCCGCCTTGTCTTCTCCTCGTTCTAACGGCAGGCGATCTACGCGGCTGGTGACGCATCTCGTTGAGTGTTCATTGGATTGCAGCATACCCCCTTATCCTCGGCGGTGTCAGCAGCAACGGCAATCCCTTGGCGCCTCCAACGACGACGGCCATCCAATTACGCACGCATTCCTCCACGGCGGACGCATTCGCCCTGCCTCCTGTCCTTCTGCTGCCATCCATCGCGCATTCCCTCCGCAGTTGAGCACGCCACCGCAGGAGCTAATACTCACACGTACCGCTATCGTCACCACAGCACGCAGAGGACACACACCAGCAGCACACGGCCAGTCATCATCGCCACCACACCTGTCAATTGCGTGCAGCCTTCAGCAAAAGTAACTCCCCGTCAACAGAGAAGGAAAGCAAAAATAGACACGACCGCTACACCACGCACAGCAACAAACGACAGCAACAAATGGCAGCACCCCAGCAGCAGCGCACACACCACGAGACAGATGGAATCAGTACGATTGCAGAGCTCGCACACCGCACCGCAAACCACAAGTTAAAAAGCAATAAAAAACAATAATTAAAAAGCAATAATTAAAAAAGAAAAGAAAAACAAACCCAGGGCTCCAGTGCGCATGCATATGAGTGTGTCCGCGATGCGTTCAACGTGGCGGATGCGGGGCACAACGCGGAGCACACAGCACGGCAGCAGAAGCAAGTAAAGCAAAACACAATCATTATTTCCTCTTATTTTATACAGTGAACCACAACACACGCGCACAAATCCCCGCGGTTGAGTGCTGGCACGCACAGCCCGCACACACCTCTTCAGCCCACAGCGGTGTACGCCAGCGCGGATGCGGCGAGCACCAGCGGGGCACACACCCACGCAGAGCTGCTGAGGCTGCCGTCGATTTCGCGAAGACTTGACGGTGCGCGGGTGGTCGTAGTACTTGGCGCCTCCGTAGTCGTAGTGCTTGGTGCCTGTGTTGTAGTGGTGGTCGTCGTGGTCGTCGTGGTTGGCGCCTTTGTTGTGGTCGTCTTTGTGGTCGTCTCGAAAGAGTCTTCCGCGTTATTAACTTCTTTGTCCGCAGGTGTACCGGTGCCAATTTCTGATCCTTTATTACCGTTCTTACCCCCTGTCAGTGATGTATTTGGCTCGTTATTTACGATTGGTTCCAGATCGGTTAAATGTGGCGCTTCTGCCTCAATTGTTTCCGCAGCCGGCTCAGTGGCTGAATTTTTAGCAGCCTGACCGTTCCCTGGTATTCCTCCTGTTTCAGGGCCCGAACGTGACAACCCTGACTGACCGGCCGTCGTGGTTGTGGTCGTCGTGATCGTAGTGGTCGTAGTTGGTGGCTGTGGTGGAGGGGGCGGTGGAACGGGGGCGGCTTGAGGCCCAGGCTGAGCGTCTGCCCCGCACACGGACGGGCAGCAGCACAGGGCAAGCACCAACAGGGCGCACAGCAGACGGCACGTCGTCATCATCGTGAGTGTGGTCGTTCAGTGGTGTGGAGCTGATCTGCACAGTGAGGGACATGGAGAGCAACAGGGGAGACGAGAGGTGCAGCAGACACACACAGAGGGCACACCACATGAGGAGAGGGCAGCAGCCAGGCATGCACCGTACGCCGCACACCACGCACGACACACACTCCAATCCACGGCAGCAGGCACACACACACACACACAGCCCTGCCGCAACACCGACACACACAGATGGAGGAGGGAGAAGCAAACAGGAGCGGCACACAAGGCTCCACCGCATGCACATACGGCGAGAGCGGTCCGTCGTGTCGGCACCCCTCACGGAGGGTGCGCACACACACAAGAAGGTGCAGCGCACACAGCAACACAAAAGCAAAGTAACAATACAAAAAGGAGATCCCCGCACACCACGCGGATTGTTGGTCCACGGGAAGTGCAGCCAATATTCACCACAAGCAGTTCAGTTGCAGTAGGCCTTCGTCCACATTCATCGCAGACCACCTCATGCAGTCCCGGCCACCACCGCAGCAGCCGCACACGTAAAAACAAGCGCAAGGAATGCAATAATGCAAGCATTCATTTATTTGTATTTCCTTTTGGATGTTGGCGGATGTGTGCACATGTTGGTTTCTTTTTTGTGAGTGTGCAAACCTTCATGCCTGCATCGTGTGTTTCAAGAATTTCCGCAAGGTGCACAATTATTTGTTTTCCCACTTGTGAATGCTTCTTGTGTTGGTGCAGCCAACAATTCGGTTTATGTTGTTCCTGCCTTTCGCTGGTAAAGTGCTGCAATAGGTGCTTTTATTTCCTCCGTTCGTTGCTGTGGCACCTGATTCCTCACCGTTTATTGCGGTGGAAATGAAAATATGTGGGTGGACTCCCACGCACCAGAACGCACCTTCGCTCCTATTTATTGCTGCACGGAAGGGCATGTGTGTTTGGTGGTGCCTCGTCCATATATTTTGTGGGCGTACATTCCCCTGCAGGCTGAGGGCGGGATGACGCTCCGTCGCGGTGCACTTCCCTCGCATGCCGCCCACTGCGATTCATCATGCATCACCCCTCACATACTCCGTGGTGCCACACCGCTGATATTATTGCAGCCGCTGTGATTCCGCGTATTTCACGCATTTGGTTGCGCCACAATACATCCGCTCGTGTGGCCGCCGCATCCAAACAGCGGTGCCCAACACCGTGAGCGGCACTCCACATCCTTGCATGTCCCAACGCAGTGGTGTTTGACTGTCAGCCAGGCGTCAGACATCAGGAGTGTCTTGTGCTGGCAGTACAACACACGGAGCTGCAGCGAATGACTCGGGCGGCGACGCATCTATTTGTCGCAAGGCAGTGAAAAGGAGTCGGGCAAAATAATGCCGGCTGCATTCAAGACACCATATCCACAGCCAAAGCATGCGACGTGATTTGTGTTTCACTGGTGCTGTGGAATGCCTGCAGACGACGTCACTAGTGGAGGCATGCCACCCATGATCAGCGGACAGACAATAATCGGCATGGGAGGCCACAAGAGGCAGCAACGACGTCAGCAGCTCTCTCTCTCTGTTGGCTCCGAGAAGTAAATATTCCACCAGCCACAGCTCACTGTGCCATCGTGACACTCCATGCACGACGTGGCTGCGTCAACACATCCTGTTCCCTGCAGCGCCTCAAAAGATGCCTCACTCCGTCCACTAAGTGCATCGAAGTGGGCCGTGCCTGCGCTGCTCGTGAGGACCACAACGATGTGAGGGTCACCGAGTCGCAGCATGTTTGTTGTGAAGTTGTTGCATGGCACCCGCACACACACACGCAGCGTCTGCATCCCTCCCTTCTGTGTCCGCCCTCCGCCGGAGTGGCCACACACACGGGCAGCAGCAAAATCACTTCACCCTCGACAATCCAAAATCAACACCGACATCCCTCGCGACGCGAAGATCTCAGTTGCCAGCACGGGCCTCATGCCGCTCTGCAATCGACGCTGAAACACGGCACAGTGCACGCACTTATTTTCCTCGTGTGCAGTCAGCCGTTTGCTTCACACATTCTTCGACGGACCGACGTTCACAAAAGCACGCCACAAAAGCCACTGTGATCGCACAAGCCCTTGCGATGAGCGTCGGTGTGTGCGTGCATCCGCTGCCCACAAGTGCTGGCAGGCAGCCTGCAGCCGGTGCACTCGTGCCAGTTCATCGGCTCCAGCACGGAAAAGAGAAAGTGCCCTATTCCCGATGCACTTATTCCCACCGGCAGCACCAACACGCTGGTCGCCAGCCGTCATTCCCCAGCACATCCAGGAATGCCGAAAAGTGACGTGGAACTGTCAGCCAGCAATGCCACAATCCCGCACACATGTCGGCTCCACCAGAAAAGAAACACAAATCACAAACAACACCCTCCACATGTCTTCCAAACATCATTCCGACACACCGCGACACGCCAAACAGAAGTATTCGTCACTCCAATGCACCTCCCCACACAATCACATAGTCCACGCACCACGCACGGCAGCGGCTCACACGCAGTCAAACAAATGTTCCTCGGATCAGTGGCCTCCACGTGCTGCGGTGGGAAGTAAACAAAAGAGACGAGCCGCCAAACCCCAAAAGAGTGCCACGACTGGCCGCAACTCAACGGAACGCAGCCACACAAATGAATTCAGTCCTAATGCCTTCAGCCTCTCACCTTCCCCACAAGAACTGCAAAGATTGAAAACAAACGTACCGTCCAATAAACTCTTTGTGCAAAGCAAAAAAGAAGCCGCAGTGCCTCCTGCTGCCCTCACAGTCCGTTGATGACGCCTGGATGCGGATGGTCACCCATCGGTACTTCCAAACGACGCCGCACACCCGCGACGCATCCTGCGCTCCAAGAAATGCGGCCCTCATTATCACCAGAGACGCCCACGCACCGTCAGTACGCAACAAATCGTCAAGGAACGAAGGATAAGTCAGGCTGACAGCAAGACACCCGCCGACAAATCACAGCACAAACATCATCACAAGCAGAACCAAAAGCAATGCAGGCCGTAGAGAAGCGTGAATCAACTGACGCATGTCAAAGAAAAGAAAAAAACTCAGTGGCGTTACAAGAATACAAGAAGCTGGCACTCTCTCAACAATAAAGGAACAGTATAATAATACACAAAAAGCAAACAATTTAGGCGTCCACCGTCAAAGCAAGCCACGAATCGAAAAAAGGGCAATGGAATGGGTGCACTCAACCAAACCACACGTAAAACAACAAAACAAAAAGCCGAAGCGTGGGACGACCAGCGCACACACACTCTCATTGCTCCCGTAAAGCAAAACACACACACACAGAGGGAGAGAGAGAGAGGTCGCCCACTCAATGCAATAAAAACAAAACAGAAACAGTTACGGTGCTCCGCCCATGCAGCCAGGCAGGACGGCAGCGGTGCGTGTCGTGCAAAAGAGAGCACCAACGGGCCTGCATGGGTGTGCATGCATATATACAATGGGCACATTATTGTGTGTGCTTCGTGGGGTGAGGTGAGGGCGAGAGTCCATGCAACGGGACACACACACAGAGAGAGAAGGAAGTGTGTGTATGCGGGCGGTGCACGGCTCTCTCTCCCTCACTCTCACGCGGCCACCACCGCAGCAGCAGCCGCACAGCAACAACAGTAAGAAGAAGCAAAAGAGGGGAGGTGGTGTGGGAGATCGCGGTGCTGCTGTCACCGTCAGCTGTGATCTCTGTATTGCTCGTTTTATTGGTGGCGTTTTCTGGTACTGTTGTGTATCTCTCAGCATTATCTGCCTGAGTGCCCCTGTTTCCTGAAGCGGTTTCAAATTCCACAGTCTTATCCTTGTGTGCCACGTCATCATTGACGTCGTCGTTATTGGACTGTTCAAGGTCACTCGCATCACCAGAGGCTTGGGTGCTTCTTGTGCCAGCGGTAGGCCTTTCAGCAGTAGAAGCTGCAGGGCTGCTGTCGCTGTCGTCATCATTTGTCGTGGCAATTATACCAGCGTTGGGTATTTCTTCTGCTTGCAATTCACTGGTGCTGGCTGGCGGAGCAGCGGGGCCAGTATCTCCCGCGGAATCATGTTGTGCTACTGAGGCGGCAGGAGGTTGTGGATTGTTAACACCACCCTTCCCCACCGTGCTTCCGGCAATACCGCTGCCAGATTTGGAGGCGGATAATGGAGTTGTAGCCTCTGGAATTTCTTTGGATGCACCCCGCTGTGTACCCGAGAAAATTGTTTCTCCTTCTTCGTGCTCTGAGGCATCTTTCGTTTGGAGCATCTCCTTTTTGTGTGAGTGACTTCCGTCTCGCGGCCTTAAGTTTTCTTCCACTGGAATTGGTGTCCGTTTCTCAGTTAATCCTAAAGGCTTTGATGGCCCCGCTTCTGTGCCTTCTTTTGGTGGTGGTGGTGGTTGATTTCCCCTGCCATTTTCACCTTCTGTTTGGCCGTCTTTTGACACGCCGCCCACAAGCCTTGAATTGGCGTTGAAAAGTCCATGCTCAGCGTGTTTTGGACTTTGACTGCCACCCGCAACAGTCAATGGCAAGTCTGCCAACTCTTGAATTCCAGTTGGATTGGCGGGGTTGACGACTGAAGTCGCCTTGTCTTTTTCGAAATTTGTTTCTCTCTTGTCTGCTTTCAAATTATTTTCCCCTCCCGGCACTTTTGCAAATTCTTCCCGTCCTCCTGCTGGATTCTTCTTTTCTGCTTGCAACGTGTGACCTCAAAAAGACAATCCCTTCAATTTGTCGTCGTTCTCTTCGCGATGATCCTAATCATTACCAGAACCACCAGCAGCAGCAACAGCCACGGCAATCCCTTGGCGCCTCCAACGACGACGGCCATCCACAACGGCACGCACACCGTCCATCCCTTGACGGAGGCATTCCCCAACGGCGGACGCATTCGCCTCGTCTCCCGTCCTCCTGCCGACCTCCTCCACGCATCCCCACCGCCAGCAGCGCACCACAGCACGCAGAGGACACACACCAGCAGCACACGGCCAGTCATCATCGCCATCACTCCTGTCACTTGCGTGTGGCCTTCAGCAAAAGTAACACCACGTCAACAGAGTGAAAAGCAAAAAGATAGACACGGCCGCTACACCACGCACAGCAACAAATGGCAGCAGCCCAGCAGCAGCGTACACACCACGAGACAGATGGAATCAGTGCGATTGCAGAGCTCGCACACCACACCGCAAACCACAAGTTTAAAAAGCAATAAAAAACAATAATTAAAAAAGAAAACAAACCCAGGGCTCCAGTGCGCATGCATATGAGTGTGTCCGCGATGCGTTCAACGTGACGGATGCGGGGCACAACGCGGAGCACACAGCACGGCAGCAGAAGCAAGTGAAGCAAAACACAATCATTATTTCCTCTTATTTTATACAGTGAACCACAGCACACGCGCACAAACCCCGCGGTTGAGTGCTGGCACGCACAGCCCGCACACACCTCTTCAGCCCAGAGTGGTGTACGCCAGCGCGGATGCGGCGAGCACCAGCGGGGCACACACCCACGCAGAGCTGCTGAGGCTGCCGTCGATTTCGCGAGGACGTGACGGTGCGCGGGTGGTCGACACAGTTGGCGCCTCAGTAGTCGTAGTACTTGGTGCCTCTGTTGTAGTATTGGTCGTGGTTGGTGCCTTTGTTGTGGTCGTCGTAGTGGTCTCCTCGGTATAATCGTCGACATTCCTATTTGCTTGTTCTGTAGATGCACTCGTGCCACTTTTTGTCCCTGTCGTGTCTTCCGTACCTTCTCTTTGTACCGTATTATGCGCACCACTTGATTGCGAATGCGGACTGGGCGAATTCCCTGCATCTCCCGCAGTATTTCCGCGTTCCGCAGCGGCCCCATTACTTGATGACCCTAGCTGATCGGCCTCCTATGGTGTCACTGATGAAGGGGTCAATTGACTGGTAACGCTTCCATTAGCTCCAGACATAGTTGATGCCGGTATTGTGGCCGTTTTGGAAGAAGCGGCAGCTTTAGGCTGAGTGTCTCCCGCGTGCACGGACGGGCAGCAGCAGCACAGGGCAAGCATCAACAGGGCGCACAGCAGACGGCACGTCATCATAATCGTGAGTGTGGTCGTTCAGTGGTGTGGAGCTGATCTGCACAGTGAGGGACATGGAGAGCAACAAGGGAGACGAGAGGTGCAGCAGACACACACAGAGGGCACACCACATGAGGAGAGGGCAGCAGCCAGGCATGCACCGTACGCCGCACACCACGCACGACACACACTCCAATCCACGGCAGCAGGCACACACACACACACGCAGCCGCGGAATGGGTGCACTCAACCACAAAATCAAAAAGAAAACAAAACAAAAAGCCGAAGCGTGGGACGACCAGCGCACACACACTCTCATTGCTCCCGTAAAGCAAAACACACACACACAGAGGGAGAGAGAGAGAGGTCGCCCACTCAATGCAATAAAAACAAAACAGAAACAGTTACGGTGCTCCGCCCATGCAGCCAGGCAGGACGGCAGCGGTGCGTGTCGTGCAAAAGAGAGCACCAACGGGCCTGCATGGGTGTGCATGCATATATACAATGGGCACATTATTGTGTGTGCCTCGTGGGGTGAGGTGAGGGCGAAAGTCCATGCAAGGGGACACACACACACAGAGAGAGAAGGACGAGTGTGTGTGCGGGCGGTGCACGGCTCTCTCACACTCACTCTCACGCGGCCACCACCGCAGCAGCAGCACACGCAACAACAAGAAGAAGCAAAAGAGGGGAGGTGGTGTGGGAGACCGCGGTGCTGCCGTCACTGTCGCCAGTCGTCGCCGTTGTATTTTTCATGGCCGTGGCTTCGACCGGTGTTTCTTTCGGATTGGCATCTTTATTTTCATTTTGTTTTCCCTCTACCGTCCCTGCAACATCAGCTGCTGGATCATCGTCTCCAGTTGGTGGTGTGCTGTTGGGATTTGTTATATTCGATGCTCCCTCCGCACCAGAAGATAAACTTCGCTGCTCTTGACCGCCTGCTGACATCCCCTCTGTGGTGCCGGTAACAGCTTCTTCTTTCTTTGTATCCCCCTTTTCTTTCGTATCATCCTCTTCCTCTTCCTCTTCCTCCCCTTCATC